CCCCAAAACCCCAAAACCCCAAAACCCCAAATAGAGGGAAGTAGACTGAACGTTAGTTAATAATTAATGCCAGCAATAAACTCGACGGAGTGTCAGAGATTTACTAAGTTTAGAAGGTCCCCTTCAGGGTTTTCTATATCCACAAAGTCTTCAGAATGCACAGGTCCTGTTAATATTAAGCAGATGATGGAGAAATCAAATGCTTTGTCTTCTCTTAACTGAAGTAAATTGTTTAGGAGTAAGATTTTTAAACTAATATTTCTGTATACATATTTCCAATTTATTCCTAAATTACTGATTGTTGATATAGGAACAAGAAATAAAGATATGAAATTCTCTACAAGCTTATTAGTGAAGAAAAAATTTCAAAATACTCCTTCTAACACTGGCTTTGTGTTGGTGAAGCCAAATTCAGGACTAGCCAAGAATAAAAGTGGAGCTAAGCAGGACTTCCAAGAATTTTTAAAGCACGATCATATCTCTGCTCTTCAAAAACTCAACTTTTCTCTGCACTATTGTGAAGGCCAGTCAACATTCATTACTCTGCCTGGTAAGAACAGGATTTTTGGAATAAACCTTATTTTATGAAAATAACCAAGAACTTTGGGAACATTTCATGAGTACATTCTAGAACTGAAGTTAGAGATAAGCACACTGATTGAGTATAAACCTCTTGACTGATAAAGCTGCTTTGTTTCCTATTTTCCGGATGTTTAAAGACCTCTAAGCTAGGGGATATTAGATAATTAGCTGAGCATTACAAGAAGAATTAGTTGCAAATTTCTATACTTAAACAAACCTAAATCTATTAACAGAAAATGGGCTCCCAAGTCGATACATTGTACTTCCTTATATATGACTGAAGAGCCCCATAATCTAAGGACGCTAAAACTAGAGAGCAAATTTCTTTTTACTTGAGAATAGTGCTTTATATGCTTCTCTTCTAATTATAAGCTCTTAAAAATTTTCAAATTGACAGAAATCTTGGTTAAATCTTCAAATTATTCCCTTGTTTTCCAAAAATAGCGGTCATTTCTCTTATCAAACTTGTACATAATCCATATGCAAAAGGGTTACAACCCTGGTTCGTTTTTCCAATTCTGTAGTGTGGATTTAATACCGAAAGTAACCAAGACATTATTGACATTTTACTGTTTAAGAAACTGGCGAGATACCTTTATCTTTTCTAAAATTTTAAGAACAATTTCAGATTCATGAAAATTTTGAACATTTTTATTAGTACTAATATTGGGAGAAATTAGTTAATCACCAAGTTTATCAGAACCTTTCATCTAGACTTCCTTCGTTCTGTTGGAAGTGGGTGATACATTATAAGTTATTATCACAGTTTTAGTGATATCAGATTCATAAATATGAGTGATTCTTACAAAATTAGAAACTAATAGAGTATTATAGATTTCAAACGTAGCAATAAAAGGAGTGTTTCATGCCTAAACAGACATGCAAGAATTAATTCCAAGTCACAATCAGCTTTTAAAATATCAGACTCCAGAGGCAGAATGCCGAAGCTCAGCACTTTCACAAATACACGCACTAAACCGAAGAGTTTGAAACTTTCGAATCTGTCCAAAGAGCTTAAATCGATATATATCAGTAAGTATGCTTTGCAATTTGACTGTTTGTTGCATTTACAAACCAAGGTTAAGAAACTGGTCATTTTCTTAATGTAAACTAAGCACTATCACATTTTTAAAGTGAACAGCTTACCCTCAAGAGTCAGCCTTAGTATAGTCTACCTAAATGATTCATTCAATGAATCTTATCTTAGTATATAGAACTAAAGAACCTCGAATCTAATGACAATAGCATTGAGAAAGTGGATAGTTACAAATTTAAGCACAGAGGTTCGAATTTCAATCTGAAAAAAGCTCTAAACAAATCGCTCACTCTTGGCAAAGTATATCATAAAGCACATGCCTTGGCGAAACCAGGCACTTCTGTCTCCCATTTCGTTAATCCAGCGAAATAATCAAGCAGTTGGGATTCGAGGCTTTTTATTTTAACCAAAATTATTGATGTAAATAAAGTTAAAATATGATAAACCATCTTGTACAATTTCTCAACTTACAAGGACTTAATTGGGGTTTTGGGGTTTTGGGGTTTTGGGG